ATAATTATTCATTACTATATTTTTCTTCATCTTTGAAGTTTCCCACTATCAACTTGTAGCCCAATGCCAGATAACATCATGTTTATGGTTCACACACAAATTGTATATTTAGTGGGAGAGAGAGGGGAGCATAAGATAGAGGAGAGCATAAGATTGAGCTGAAATCAGCACCTAATATGCAGTTAATGAAACCAATAGGTATGAATAAATAAAGAGTGAGATAAAAAATGATCATAGTCTCTGTCACTGGTTGTATTTTATTTTTGCAATAATTTGCAAATTCCAAAAGTTTGATATCAGAATATGGTTGGAAACCTCTAAAATGAAAAATTATTGATTAGTTTTTGCTTGTGAAAATTTATACCTGTATTAACATTTATAGGGTAACATTAAATGTAGCATGTTACCAGTCATTAAGAGAAAAGGAATTTTGAGTTATTTGGAGATTTTTAGAAATAAAAAAGTATGTCATCACACACTATGACTCAGTTGCCTATGGGAGGTTTTTCTGTAATATTAGTGATATTTAAACTCTATCTGTAATTAATTCCCTGGCAGTCTGTACTATACTGGAAGAAGAAGAAGAAGAAGAAGAAGAAGAAGAAGATAACCACTTACATATTTAGCAGAAAGAATGAAATAGTACTTTTAAGTTTGTCAAATAAAGAAGAATGCCACCATTTGATTTTGATTGTTGACATACACACTGTGTAGAATTCAGTGTCTATGTGTGACTGGAGAGCAAATGGATGCCTTCCAGACAGAAGTGATGTCCAATGTGTAAATACATGTATGATTTAGTGTGTTGGGATATGACTGTGTGTAATGGCTTCATGTTTGCATACCTGTCATATCTGACGTAAACCGCATCAGGTGTCAGGGTAATTATGGGTAAATTCCATCTTTCTCACTTGAGCCTTTGTTTGGTTTTTATCATGGACCCTTCTGTGGTTTCATCTTTGATGACTTTTGGTAATATTGTAGATATTCTTTTAATATTTTATTTTTATTGTGATTTTACATGAAGATGTCTGAAACTATACTCTATTGTAGAATATGAACAAAGATACTAATAGTGTTTCATTATTAGTGGTCTTAAACACCCAACATTTAAGATTTATCCTGTGAAAATACATACGGTAATCAGAAATCAGGATTACTTTTAAGCTTAGAGACTCCTGTACATGTAGATTACTTTGAAAAAGATTTTCTAAGAGGTGATTGCTAAATTCTTTTTTGTATTAAGAAATTGTGCAAAAAATTGCAAACTGGTTTAGTGGATAAGTCTCCGCAGTGCTAACATTCTATTGGCAAAAGTATTTGCCACACTCGACCCTGGTGTAGTAAGTGTGTAGGCTGCTAGTGGTAGGATATTCATTGAATGCATAGAGCGTTTAAGCTGCCAGAGCTAAAGCTGAAGTAATAATGTCCAAAGTCCTTTGGAAGCCCATGGAGATGTTATAACACAATGTGACATTTTTGTGACCTAACATATTGTTCAAGGATTTTGTTGTTGTTGAGCGAACAAGAAAATGGTAGGTTAACAATAATATTGTTGTACATTACATGTAAAGCAGGAACTCCTACAATGTACATGTACACTGTATGTTATTGTTTTTTTGTAAAAGCAATACACTGTATGCAAAGAGATAAATGCTAACCTTTTTAAACTATTAATCTTACTGTAGGCTTTAGTACATTAAAGATATTATCTTGGCCCATAAACAACAACAAATTGTGAAACTGAAACTAATCATGAAGTACTTATGAAACCTTCCAGAAAACCTAAGGGTAGGTAATACATCCCTTGAAGTAAATCCAGGATACCACAAAAAGGAAGTACCGGTAGATTTTTAAAAGTAGGAAATGCCATCGAGGGTTATTGTTAATTCATTGACATACAGAGTTTGTGGTTTCTTGGAGTCTCAGGTGCATTAGAGGTAAATTGATGTGGTGGAGTTGCGTAGTTATGATACACTCTGTAATTGAATTTGTATTTACATCTTGATTACTTCTTTAGTGTACATTTGAATGTATTCACAAGATACACGAACATGTACAAATGGAAACTAGCACTATGCACATGTACAAGAATTCTACCTTCCGTCCTTTCTAAATTTGTCCAAAAATATTCCAAAAATATTCCAAATATTGTATGAAGAAAGCTTACATGTACATGTATGCGTGGGTGTCAAAGAATTTTTTTAAGTATTCGACCATTTGTTACGAGTTTGGGTTTGAGTGCATTTTATCTACACAATAATATACATGTAGGAATACATGTAAACAGGCAAATGTGACTCAAATTTAGTATGTCATCAATAGAAATAGAATTTGAATTTGATTGTAAACATTTCATGAAACTGATACAGTAGGTTTCTGTAGCATTTTAAATTGGCATGTGTGACACATTTAGCAGCGCACCCATCTTGCAGAATCAAGTCTAGTCTGTGATTCATGTTTCAATAATTAATGTCAACATAATATATTCAGGCATAGCTTCAGTTCATATTACATTGGGGGAAAGTGAATATCTACAGCACTGTAAGTTTGTAGACTGTACTGGAATGGGAGATTGTTTTGTGTATACTTTTCATTTATATATTTTATTAGTAATTTGGAAGTTTAACTTTGAAGCAAGAAATACAGATCTCACAAATCACAATACTTCTTAGGATGTTGATGACAATAAGACAATGTACATGTGGAAGTGTCGTGGTCCAGTGAATATGTCACCGGACTGTGGATCCTGCTGCGGCACCATGATAACTTTGTGTTGGTGACTGTATTGTGGCCAAGCCAATGATGCTATTAGAGTGTTGCATTGAATATGTACCGGTAGATATTTTTGCATATTTTTTAAAAACCATTTTAATCTTCTAGTGGGAGCATGGGATAGATAATTTGCATAGTCTCTATTCAACCCACACTTTCTATTTAAGTAAGAGCGTGCCCCATGATAAGTGTCGGATGGTGACTGCATTGTTGGCCAAGCCAATGATGCTATTAGAGTTTTGAATTGAATACATATTTAAAAACATTTTTATCTTCTACAGAAAGCATGGGATAGACAAATTGCATAGTCCTTGTTCAACCCACACTTTGTAAGTAAGATGTTTGGCCCATGATAAGTGTGTGATGGCTACTGCATTTTGGCCAAACCAATGATGGTATTAGAGAGTTGAATTGAATAATAATATGTAGATTTTTGTGCATATTTTATACAATTTTAAACCATTTTATCTTCTACTGAGTACTGGGAGCATGGGATTACATAGTCTTTGTTCAACCCTCACTGTCTATAAGTAAAGAGCGTGGCCCATGATAAGTGTGTGATGGTTGACTGTTCATTGTGGCCAGCCAAAGATGTTATTAGAGTGTGAATTGATTGTGGGGGAGGATGCATACAGGACAGTGTAATGCATCAATGGTTTGGATGAGCAAAGGGTCACTTGCTCAAAATCTCAAAAATGAAAAATTGAAGATGGGAGAAAAAGTCAGGCAACATTGCTGATAGCGTGAGATTTTTTTGAAATGTATTGAAAAAACTCTTGGAGAAACAGTAAAATTTGAATAAAGAGGAAGTTGGAATGTTGTATTCATGTACATTGCACAATCACACAGGAGTATTAAACACATTAAATTCTAACAGTTTAACTTTCATTAATGTACATAATTGTAAGTAAATGAAGCACAGTCTTTATGCATCACCTACTGCACACTGGTCTCAGTTTACATAGATCTGTTTGTGATTAAAGAACATAAATAAAAAACAAGCTTGCACCACACAGGGATTGTAGTATTGTACATCTGTTTACATGAACATAAACCACAGATTTCCATTCCTAAATTCCTGGAATATGATCGTGGACCATGCCCTTTTAGAGTCACCTCAAATATTTCTACATGGAAGGTTTCTATGCCAGAAATAATAATTTGGTCTTATACACAGGTATTGTACAACATGTCTTTTCTCATTTGTCCCAAATTTCCCTGCCTAGATTCCTAGAATATAAATACATGTAATAATAATAATAATATGACAAATTTATATAGTGCTTGTGACGAAAGTTTCAAAGCGCTGTACATGTACACAAATCAAAATTACTTCAAACAAAAATCAATATTACTAATGGAATTAACATTACTCAAATTACCAAGAAAACTAAATATTACTAACATAACTTACCAAATTAACATTACTTAAATTACCAAGAAGATCAAACATTACTAAGATTACTAAAGAAATTAACTTAACATGTAAATTCCTTGGAAATTAACACATTATATCAGTAATAGCAATAATAAATATTAATAAATATTAATCACGGACGATGTTTTTTTAGAACCACTTCACTCTTTTTCTACATTGAAGGCTCCAACATGCTTGCCAGAAATATAATTTGGTATTAGGATATAAAATATTTGTTGGTGTAGTTATTAATAGCAAAAGAGTTTTATATCGTACTTATAAGATATATATGCTATAGTTTACAATAAAATTGTAAGAACTCGTTCATATCTGGTGAATAAATAAGGAGATACATGTACATGTAGGATTAAGCTCCAAAATTTGCATTTCTCAAAAATATGAATAGTACTGATCCTAAAAATACATGTTTGAAGTATGTAAACATGATTTCATTTTTGACCCTCTTGGGGACACATTTGGTATATATATATATATATATATATATGTTAAAAAATCCATAAAGACTAGTTCAATTCAATTCATTTATTTTTCCTCTTTCAATTGTTCATATTCACAATGATGGTACATTTTAACATATTCATATACATATATACATATAGATCAGTTTGCACAATACAATACATTAAAACAAAATAAACATGAAATGGAAAGGGAAGGAGGGCCGACTAAAAAGCAGAGCTTGTAGGGTTGTAAGCCCCCCTGTAAAAGTAATTATTATGAATTATTATCAGATAAATTGACATTTGGAGGAAAACAAATCTATGGTTTATGATGTTTCCCTGTGTTTCTGACATTTGATCTAACATTTACATGTATGTGCAGTCCTGTCCAGATTAATAAACATCTTGCAAGAGTTGTTGAGCGTCGGTGTCAAGAGTGTCAGTTCAGGTCAAGATAACAGCATGGCAATTGGTCTTGTTCAAAATGACAATCAGTTCACATCTGTTTCATTGTCTGTCGGGAGCAGCGGCATGGCATTGCATTTTGCTGGGTAGGTAGACTTGAAAATTGGATGACGGTCAATAAAGAAATCTCATTTCCCAACTTTTCAAAATGTCCATGCCTGGAATGATACAATATTTTGCTTTTCTTCACTCGTGTAACAGGATGCCTCCTGGGACCCGTTTCACAAAGCCTTTTTTCAATGACAAATAACAAAAATCAGTGACATTCTGCTGATAACCAATCAGAAGCAAGGATTTCCATAGCTTATAACAAAAACTGTCATTTGTCACTGATGACAAGTTTTGTGAAATGGGGCCCTGAAGTGCCCTCACATTATTGAGAGGCCACACATTAGTTTCCTGTGATGTTGACTGACTCCCTAGCAGCAATGGGCCCTCTCATTCAAATGATAAAGCATATGGCAGGGCAGTACACTATCAGGGGCCCCTGATACTTGGGCACCTAAAATATAACTCTGGTCCCCCCAATTTCAAAATTTTCATGTAGGGCCTACTAACTGAGAAAAGTTAATTACGGACAGACCCCCTTCCCCAAAAGTTAGTGTGGAGCTCTGCATATAGTCATTTCTGTCTTGACCTTTTTCACCATGACCTTTAGGTATTATTTGAGTAGGTTTTTTGTGCCCACCGACTGGCCCAAGTGGGGATTTGCCCCATTCAGTTTAAAACCAATGTTATTTTATGTTCGGTCACATACACCTATTGTGCAAGTACATATCTTAATGTCTGGGGTTTACAGCTAGAAATGGTTTCATTGCTGGTCCACCAAATGCTTTGCATAGTCAAAGCAATGACAAAAGTATCAATAAATATCACATTTTAGTGACCTTACTGGCGGTTCCGCTCCTAAAATTTATAAGGGAAAACCCCTTCCCTTACTCTGTGTTCAAGATTTACATGTACCGGTACCTGTATATGCATCAAACACCATGCTTTTGAATACCAGTTCACATCTGTTCGAAGTGCGTGCCTGGGACATTAGTTACATGTACATTCCATCTTGTATCTTCATAATCAAGAGTCAGTTCACATCTGCTTTAGATTTCCATACTTTGAGGAATTCAGTTTTATACCATACAGGTACTCTACAATTTTCATGAGTTATTCTTTTCAAGATTGCCAATGGTTTAATGTTAATGAGCTCACATCTATTTAAGATGTCCATGCCTCACATAGAATAACACTTGACAACATAATGTTACTGTATAAATAGAGACGACACTACTGATAAGGTAATGATCTGAATAAACAACGACAAGATCTTTTTAAAGGATTTTCCTCCAAAGCCCTGTCTAGGTTAAAGCATGTCTTCCACTTTATATAAAACACTAATAACTTAAAACATACAACTGTAATTTGAATATGAGAATCTTGTTCAAATTGAAATGTTGCATTTGTAGTATGAATGCAGAAGGAGGAAATGTTGTTTTGGAAATGCTTTAAATAAATCATTTCGCTATGTTAAAACTTATTTTGAGGAAGAGATTACAGTGTGTGTAATACCAGAAGGGCTTTAACTCATATCCATTTACACAGATAAAACATCCTTCTGGCGCTTAACTCGTGGTATAACATCCACAAAATACAGCACTGAAAAATAATCATACAAAATTGTCGGAAGGTACCCACTATAAAAAGTGAATTGCATCAGTCATCACACCATTCAATCAACACTTTGTCTCATCAGCCCATGTTACTATATTCACAGTCCTTTCCATACAATACAGGCATGAATATTTTTCAGAAACCCCTGGAAATGTCAGCATAGCTGCTATGTTCCTGGGTGTATGCATACCCTAACCCCCCATTCAGACTACGTTATAAACATTTATGGTATGCTTATATGAGAATAGTATGTGGTAAGGGAATTAAGTTTTTCTAGTATGAACATCGTATGTTCTTGGGTATATGCATACCCTAACCCCCCCCCCCCCATTCAGACTATAGATAATTATGGTTGATTATATGAAAATTGTATGGAGTAATTAAGTTTTTCTAATATGAACATTGTGTAACAAAACGTTAAAGAAAACACAATTTTGAGCCCTTTTTTCAGAATGAGAACTCAATGAAGAATCTGCATCCTTCTCTAGTCTGAATGTCGAATCGTACATATTCATATTAATGGGTGTGGCATTTCGTGAGTGTGAACTGATGATTGGGCAGCTGTCATGTCGGCTGATCTCTTCAAAATTATATTTCTTATACTAAATTATTGTCTTGTCTGGATGCCCCTTTCGCTAAACGATGATTCTTTATTTATCTATTGAACGTTTTGTTGTGCAAAATTCATGTAGATTTCCTTTAGTATGAACAGGCCATAGGATAGAGAGAGAAAGCTCCTGGAGCAAAATTTCCCTCTCCCAAATCAATTCAAAGTGCACTGGTTGGGTGATCATCGTAATAAAGGTCTTGGGGAAAAGCACTTCAGACCCGGGTAGTCTTCCGTGTTGAGGCGGCTTTGTTTTTAGCCAAGATCCCAGAGTGTGAAAAGTACAGATCGTGAGTATTTGAGATGGATATCAAAGATGCAGTAAGACACCCTTAAAGTCAAGGAGGTTGTCCTCTGTGCAGTGCTCGGTATAGGACACTCATACAATGTACATGTAACTCTGAATTCCCTCAAAATTGTTTTGCTTGTTTTACGTTTTTAAATTTTGATGCATTGTATGACACACTGTCATTATAGAGCCTGTCTGTGAAGACTATGATTGGAGACATTTTTTATTTAAAGGGACAGAAGATGTGATGAAAAGAGCAATAAGAATGCAACCATAAATAAAAGAAGGGTAACAAGATCGATGGATAATGAATCCTGCTGTGGAAGGAATTATCAAATCAAGTAAAATAAATCATTAATACTCTTAATACCATTTCTCCTTTATGCAATAAAATGTGATTGCAGGCTCTGCGGAGCTGCCTTCAAGTTTATGACATGATGTACAGTACTTCAGTAATTAAGTGTGTGAAGAGCAGCATCACAACATACTTTTGTAAAAATATATAATTTATGAGCTATGATGAAAAAAAAATTAAATCAGGAGTGGCCACTTCTAAAACTGCATTTTCATACACAAATCATGTACTTGTCATTACACCTGGTAGCCATTCTAAACTTTGTTATCAACTGTAGAGTCAATGAATTCATCACAACATATTAAGGTTAACTGATTTATTATCCTCTCTTTTTATGGAATCTTGATTTCCGTTAATGGTAAAAAACAAATTCTCAAAGATATCTGCCAAATGATTTTGGTAGGAAATGAACAATAATTATGGATAATTAAGTACATTTATGTAAATAGAATTGTAGTCCTGACCTATTTGCATATCAGATGGTCTCATATGAAATTATTATCAAGTTGTTGTTAACTTGTTACCTTTGTTTTTTAAATGTATCTGGTGCACAATTGAGAAGTAGTTTAAAACGAGACAAATTCCTCTTCAATACAATTCTGTTTCTAAAACTTCATGTGAGCTATTATACTTGTTTTGGGGTTTCTTTAATGTTTTCCTTCATGGAAATGTATGCTCTTGGTACGTAGGATTTGCCTGTAGTCTATGAAATATGAAGTCATAAGATTATCTCTGAAATTTCTGTCAAGTTAATCATGTTTTTTTTTTTCCCTCTTTTTTAATCCAGATAATTGCTCAACCTCATCCTTTCCCCCCCAAACAACCCCACATTCCATCTTAACCTGGCGACGACATACGGCTCCAAGATTGGGCTACAAACCAGAACACCAAACGAAGAGTTCGTCCTGCCAGCGTTCCCGCCGGAGCAAAACCCAGCCCTGGACGGACCGGGGGACAGACCGAGGTTTCCGTTTGGTATGCCAGCGCCGGGAATGCCTGTACCGATGGACGGACGCGACCATGGTTACGTGCCGTAAGTATTTCTTTCATCCTTTTCTTGATGCGTTTGACATTTTTATTCCTGTACCAATGAACAATTTTGCATATAAAAATATGTGTACATTTTGTGAAAAATGTTGGGTCTTGATGACTAGAAATAAAAATTTCTATGCAGATTGCCTGACATTGTCATACTACGCCTACTTTTCATCTATGCTTTTATGCATATATATAAGAAGTACATGTACCGTAGTTTGGAAAGAAATTCATCTGAAAATACTGATCATTGCATTTCCAACTTTTGTTGTGACGTCTGAAAACTTTTCTGCAAATCAGGGTTAAGTTGTCTCTTCTTTCTTTCCACATGATCTGGTGGATATGTGAACTTTCTTTCTCCAAACAAATTCTTTATTCATTTACAAAGGAAAAACAAATTACAATATAAAAAAACTAAGGGAAATAAACTAAGAAAAATCAATATTATTTGTGACTGAAAATGATTTAATAGGATTTTTTCTTTACCTTTTTATGAAAGGGAACTCTTTCATCATATTTTATGCTGGACTTCAAGCACTTTTTAATACAATCTGGTGATATGGTTAAAATAAAAACAATAAAAATGGAATGCTGTACCCCCACCCACTTTGGGCTTAGTGTCAAAGCGACACCAAGACCCAGTTTTCTTGATTTCTTTTGTTGAGACATCGCTGGTTAACTCATGCCATCTCCCCTACCTACATACGGGAGCAACTTCTTTCTCTTTAATACAAAAATACTAGCCCACGAGCACCTGGGCTAAACAGGTTGGTTGAAGAGAGAGAGAGGGAGAGGGTGAACCGAGATTGAGAGAGAGAGATAGGAGTAATGAGCCCGCGTCTTCATTACGTTCAGTTCACGCTAGGGTCATTGTGCGGTGCAGTAAAGGCCGGTTTCAATCTTCTCTCTCAGGCTAGCCGCCTGCAAGTGTTTTGGCCATCACACTATGATCAAATTTTGCATCTGCATATGGGAATTTTCAGATTTTTTTTCGTAGCCTCGATGTTTGTGATTGAGTTATCTGAAGTGAAGAGATATGTTCACGGAAGGTGTGCCCTCACGTATGACTCATGAACATTGTAAGAAAAATAAGTGGTCATATCTTAATAACAAAAATGGGTCTTCACAACAGAGGCTGGATGAGAAAACTAATCGTGTACATAAATATAAGTTTACAAGGACATGTATACTGCATGACTGTGAGTATGATAACACTGTGAGAAGACGGGAGAAATGCCAATGGAATGTGATAGAATGTTATATAACTGAAAAATATTTTGTAATTGTAGGTCTAATTTTCGAACGTTTTTTCAAACTTGGATTGTTAGATATTGCCAATTTGCTAAGAAGTCAATCCTTGCTGGAGGTGTTTATTTCTAATTCACTGAAAGTTTTTTCATTTATAGAAATAACATAACAGAGTACAGTGTACAAATGTATTGAATTTTCAAGGCAGGTTAGACCATAAGTAAAGACCAAGGTCCAAATGTTTTATTCTGGGTTTCAGTATTTGTACATGTACACATTCAATCTAGTTCTATAGTTTACGGGCGTACATGAACAATAATTAAACAAAACTGCAGAGTCAGTAATCACTGCAAATCACAGGCAATGCTTTGTATCCTTCAGTTAAGGGACTATTGATGCAACAGCGCTCACAAGGGTCTTAAAGGGAAGCCCAAATTCATTAACTGTGACGAATTTCTTCCTTCCCGTCAGGGCTAGGAATGAAATAAAAATGTTGAAGGGAATTTGGTTAGTCATCTTTCTGGTCTTCAGACAGGTAGTGTTATTACCATGAACGTGTGAGTGTTGGCAGGCGATATGGCAGTGCGTACGGAAGCAAGAGGAAGCAAGGCTCACAGAATTTTTTGTAAGCCCCAAGCGTCTTGCAGCATGAGTGCATTAATATTAAAGGGCAAATCACCATCTACATGTATATGTCATCTAATTTTTACAGCAATCAAATGAGATCGTGAACAATTCTTTTCATAAAGAAGAAAAAATTTACCATTAAAATGGATGAAAATTTGTCTCTATTTGATGTGTTACATGTAGTTAATGCTAAAATGTCTTAAATTATATTAGATCGTTTATTTGGCTTATTGTTTTTATTATGATTGTTAATTTCTATTTTGTAAATTAATGCATTTTCATATTCTTCAGGTAATCCCTGTTCAGAATAAGAATTTACATATAGTACTTTGAACTTGTATCAAAGCTTGTGTAGAAGAACATGGAACTGAAAAGAACAGAGTAGATCAGTTCTTGATGATGAACCAATTTTCCCTTTGAATCAGTCCTCAGGCTCAAGTTTATGCTGCAATCAGCTTCTTTTTTTATGAATGAATGAATGAATGGTGTTAGTTAGTTTAGGTGTGATGAAAGATGGGCAGCAATTGTGTTAAGGCACAGTACTCCTGACAGGATGTCTTTACAGACGGAAATCGGCCAGAATGTGTGGCAAGAGACGATAAGGAGTCGAGCATGAGAAAAAAGGGGCGGGGCTTGGCATCACGGCCGCGTGGGGAAATGGCCAATGACAGGTCAGGAAGAACAAGGAGGAAAAGTGTGGTCCTAAGCGCACATGTGACAAATTTCCATTTGTCTAATAGCCCACTGGTCCTAATTGAATCGTGAGCACACTTAATTTGTAGCAGAACGAAAATAGCGTGATTGTTATCATCGGTATGATGATACTCTGTATCAGCATCTGTGTACACTTACCCATTGACAACGAGATATTAAAGGCGAGTCCTAATGAGAGAAGAAGTAGCACTCTGATTCATGCCTTCCCCTCTTTTTTCCCCCTAAAAATTTGCAGGTTTGCACAATTTCTTTTCTTCCTTCCTCATCCCTATTTGTCTAAACTCTAATTGTCTAATCATAGATTGTTATTGTGATATATATATATACACTGTATATCCATATATATGCAAATCGTAGAATAATCATAGATTATTGTGAATTTGTGATATGCAAATCATATCATATAGTTATGAAAATCATAATCACAGAATATTATTGTGGTATATGCAAATAATATGATCTATTTCTGAAAAATTTGGTCCATGTTACAACATTAGGCAACATTATACAACACCTACGTGGATCCCTGTCATTCGATTGGAGGATTGTTGGTCACATGATATTAAATAGATGGTATATTGCACGGTCGTGCATTTTTGGTTATATGCGCCGTGCATTTTTGGTTATATGCAGACTGCGTACCTCTCTGCCGTGCGCGCGCGTATCCCTGCGTGTATCTGACGCGAAGGCAATCTGAATGTAATCGAGAAGGCTTGAATCCAACTTGAATTTATCTTTAATATAAGGAGTAAAGCATAATTTGTTGATTAACGTTCTATTAGATCTTCTTCGATATGTTGTATAAAACAAATAATGAATGTTTTTCATTCGTTCAATGGTGCGAATATTTTCATTCGTTGAAAGATTAACATTAATTCTATTCAACTCGGCTGACGCCTCGTTGAATAGAATGTTAATCTTTCAACTCATGAAAATATTCGCACCATTGAACTCATAACCATTCATTATTTGTATATTATATTATCCTTTGCTCGAAAATCATATTTTACCATGTCTTGCTTATAAATGTCATGGTTCACCTGTTTGTAATTTATGCAAAACTTCACTCTCCTATGATGCTTAATAAAGTCTGTGTCACACAATTCACACTCTCTGTCAAGTCACACATTCAAGAGGCTGTTTATCTGGGGCAGTATTATTGGAAGCCAGTTTGTTGTAGAAATAACGCTACACCTCACCAATTTTGTATTCAGAAAATATGAATTTGATATTCCGTTTCCAAGTTTCCATGCATTAAAAAAGACCATCTCAATGGAGAACCATATAGTAAGGAAACCTTATTTCCAGTCTGCCATGGAAGTAAAATTGTGTTTTTATCACAATTTGATGTATTTTCTAGTAATTGTTTGCAATGCATGCCAAAATCATTGCAACCATCACCAAATGGGAAAAGATGGACCAAAATATTTACATGGTTATAGATATGCTGTATGCCAGAAATTTTAAAGTGTAAATTCTCTTTGAATGTCACACGACTGACAGCAGGCAGTGGAATGGCAGTGCTTGTTTAGGTGAAGGCAGGACTCAACACAAGCAGGGTTGAGGGTTCCAAGAGAAAAATATACATTACAAAAATGAATAAATGTATATGAATGAATGAATGAATGAATGAATTAAATAAATGAATAAATAAATAACAAGAAATCCGAATAAAAAATGAATACCGAAGATAAATAAATGAATAGATCAATTAGTAAATGAATAAATAAAACAAATAAATGAATAAATAGATAAGAAAAAAACAAACTTACAAACTAAAATTCATAATTGAATAAAAACGACTCAAAATATGATAATAATTTCTTAGGCATAACCTCCTTATCATTGGGTCAAACTTTCTATCTGAATCTCTGACATGAAAGTTAGTACAGGGCTGTAATTAGGGGTATTTTGTGGAAATATAAGTATAGCACACTGAATATTTCACACATACAGGTGTGTAGTAGACCTATTCTGGCAGTTATCGGAAAAAATGTTAATGCATTTTCTGCCCTTTTGTGCAAAGCAGAGATCTGGTTGATACCTTAATACCTATTATACAACACCTACGTGGATCCTTGTCATTTGATTGGACGATTGTTGGTCACATGATATTTAATAGATGGTATATTGCACGGTCGTGCATTTTTGGTTATATGCGCCGTGCATTTTTGGTTATATGCAGACTGCGTACCTCTCTGCTGCATGTGCGCGTATCCCTGCGTGTATCTGACGCGAAGGCAATCTGCATGTAACCGAGAAGGCTTGACTCGAACTTTAATTTATCTTTATAAGGAGTAAAGCATAATTTGTTGATTAACGTTCTATTAGGTCTTCTTCGATGTTGTATAAAACAAATAATGAATGTTTTTCATTTGTTTAATAGTGCAAATATGTTCATTCGTTGAA